AAGCACTAATGCCTGAAATTTCTGTGGGATAATTTCTCTAAAATGGATCAAGGACTTCGGCTCTTAATGGACTCGAACTTCCTCACCTTAGAGATTCTGCTAGGAGAGTGGACAGAGTTTATTCTCCAATGACCTGCTGAACGGAGATCTGGGGCACATCTGTGCCTCATTCTTGAAGCAGGAATCCATGAGGACAGGGAGAGAAAACGTGTCTAGAATATTTCCAACCAGAGCATTCATCTTGCCTGCTGTGGATGGAAACATCAGCTCTGAGTTTCTGTCCTGACCCCGGCTTGCTGGAGGTTCCTACTCAATCTTTCCTAAAGGGAGGATGCATGCCTTTCTTCCCTCCTCTTTAATTTCTCTCTTTTTGGATAGACTGACAGCAGAAAGAACAGTAACTTGCACTTCACAGTCTCCTTAGCAGACTTGACTGATTTTGATAGTTGTTTCATCTTCATGGGAGATGCCACCCTTTGTATTTTGAGACGTGATGCCTGATGGTCTGTGACTTGCAGCTCTGTCTGTCGGCTCCTGGCACCCGTGATCTTTCAGATCAACTAAGTTTCCATGGGAAATCTATGTGGCGGGTAAATGGCCCGGTGTCCTGAAGGCAGCATGGAGTGGCATAGCCCAGTTTTGTTTTAGGCACACTCTGTCGGCAACATGGGGACACAGGGAGGATGCAAGGAGAAGTGGCTAAGGTTTGAGAGACAGCCTGTGTGAGATGGTGGCCCGTGATGGGGGACTAGAGGACTGCCAAGGGCAGGGGGACATGCAGGAGAAACTCCAGAGCTACATGAAGAGGACCTGATAAGGACTGCACAGGGCTGTGCGGGAGCAGGTACCTGGGGAACCGGCATCTCTTGGCTCAGGTGACTGGCCAATTGCATGGTGTTGATGCAAAGAGAAAAGCGGGAGTAGAAGCTTTCAGATTTTAAAAGGTGTAGAGGTTGCTGCATTCTTTTTTAGATTTTATTTATTTGACAGATACTGAGAGAGAGAGAGAGAGAGCACAAGCAAGGCGAGCGGCAGACAGAAGGAGAAGCAGGCTCCCTGCTGAGCAAGGAACCTGATGCAGGACTTGATCCCAGGACTCTGGGATCATGACCTGAGCCGAAGGCAGATGCTTCACTGAATGAGCCACCCAGGCGCCCCGAGTCTGCTGCATTCTTAACGTGACACAAGTCCATAATGCTAGGACTAGCTGTCTGGCCGGTAACTGGAAATTCCGATGTGGACATCAGGAGGGAAGTAAGTCTGAAAGCGTCCTTTCCACACTGGCGCCTTCCTCGACACAGAGCTTTCATGCGTTTCCATCTCTCCCACACCAAGTGAAGTGCCAGGCAACCCTTAAGCACTCCAAGGACGTGGCAAACTGAAAACTAGCCAATGCCGTAAGCCTTAAGCACAGCAGCTCTGAGTGTTCCACTGAGTCTCTGTGAAGGAAAGTATCACTGCTATCACTGTTCACATAGAGGCCAAGTGTTCTCTGGGGCTGTGGCGTTAGAAATCCATGAGGATCTAGCTGTTCTCTCTGACCTCGAGCAAAATACCTTGCCAGGGTCACCATCACATCAGCACTGATATTCAAGCTGGCCAGTTTCAATTCCGTGGCTCAGTATCTGCTCAAAATACATCTTTTTTTCTTTTTTAGAAGGAGTGTTTGTTCAGTATAGCCATAAACAGCTTTTTTTTTTTTTTTTTTTCATAAACAGCTTTAACCTCTGCCTTCACATGGGTCTGGCCTGTTTTTCCAGGGCTGAATTTGAGAAGTTTATTGTATCTTTATTCTGGACAGGCAGACAAGATGAAGTCGTATCAAATGCACACACTTTTGAAGGTAGGTACTTAAATACAGTGGAGATGCAGGTACACAAATCCAGCTACCCTATAAGTTTGATTGGAGAAAATCATCACGTCAAATATTTCTTGAGCACCTTCTATGCACTCGACATGGATGGAGTAGGGCTTGGGCCACAGCGTAAATATACTACCATCTGCCCTACTGTAAAGGTCGAGAGGAAATACACAGGAAAATTGAATGTAGGGTGGTTAGAGCCACCATGGGGACGAGCGGGATGTGGGGAGAAGCTTCCAAGCTTCTTTCCAGAGTGAGTATCTTAGCCTCTGACACATCAGTGAAGCATTGATGCCAATCACTGATGCATCCATGTGAGCCAGACTGCCCAGTAGGAAAAGGAAGGGTGACTCAGGAGATGGGGCAGCCCCCACAGATGCCTGGAGGCCAGAAAGAAGACGGAAGATTGAGAGTGCAGCGAGTGCTTCAGGCTGGCGGGACAGAGAGCGTGCAGGGTGGCGGCTGAGGGCTTAGGTTAATGTGCCCGTGGTGTGGCAAGACAAGGGACTACAGCTCAGCCTGCAATAGGGAGATGGTAGGCCGGCGGTGACAACCTAAACATCAGAGAGACCGTGATGTGGTCACGTCTGTGAGCCTCGCTTTAGCTGTTAATCCACGGGATTTAGATTTAAAAAAAAAAAAAAAAGTCATGTTTGAGCAACTGCGAGACACTGAATTATTAATAATTTATCCACTTGATATTTGTATTAGGTGTCCAGACCATAAATATATCAACTAATAATATTTTTTTTTAACAAATAATGCACTTAAAATAATAAAAGTGAATTTTCTGGGCTTTGTGATAGCTACTCCATGCATGAACTGATTCATTATCACCCAGAAAATAAAATATGTTTTCATATTTCTATCTCCTAGTTGCTTTCTGTTTTGTAACTATGGTGATCACACAACTTTTCATCCAAACTGGGCCTGTTTTGAGAGTGAAAGAGATGTTACGAATAATTATACAAAGACAACAGGCACGAGGGCGCCTGGGTGGCTCAGTCGGTTAAGCGACTGCCTTCGGCTCAGGTCATGATCCCAGGGTCCTGGGATCGAGCCCCGCATCGGGCTCCCTGCTCGGCAGGAAGCCTGCTTCTCCCTCTCCCACTCCCCCTGCTTGTGTTCCCTCTCTCGCTGTCTCTCTCTGTCAAATAAAAAAAAAAAAAAAAAAAAAAAAAGACAACAGGCACGAATATGAACTGTCCTGGGCAAACCAAATGTATGATTCTTATTCAAAATGTGCATTTCATTTTAAGAATGCTTAAGTGATTACAATCATTTAAAATTTGGGATAGTGTTTTGAAATGGAACATCCTTTCTTCTTTTAATTGGACTCATTTCACTCCTTTAATATTCTAAAGTTGGTGGACTACTCCATTTTGTTTCCCTAATTTCACCCTTACATTTTTGTCAGTATCCTGAGTAAATCCCGGGCTGAAATAGATGAAATAAAGATGATAAATCTCTTAACCATGACGCTCCCCAGCTGTTAAATGTGCATATAGCTTTCTAAAGCAGGATTTTCAAAGTCTAGGAGAAAATACTTCATTTTATTTTATTTTTTCTTAGCTCCCGAAACAGAAATTGGGATCAAATCCAATAAAAACTTTTATGACCAATGAAAAATGAAGCATTATTGAAATAAGAAAAAGGGAAGAAGTTGAAAGACTCACTAAGAGAGCTGCCAGACTGCAGCACCTCAACAGATCCCGATACAAAGGCTCAATATTCAGCTATTATTCAAGCTGGTGGCACATTATTATTCTTATAGATTGATACCTTTGCTTATTATCCCCTTGACTGCACACAAAACACAGTAATTTGAATCTAATAATGTCTGTAAAAACTTCCATTAATAATATAAAGTGTTATTAAAATATAAAAAAATTATCTATGGCCTGTTCTAATTGATTTTTGTTTCTATAATTGATGGGCTGAGTTTCATTGTACCTGGGTACACCAGGACAACTAACTTTGATAATAAAGGAAAATGATTGATTTCAGGGTTGAAATGAGGCAGTTTGGTAACAGTGCTTTGTCAGTTTTCTTAGCTCCCACAGAGAGCAGCACCACAGGGCTACACAGAGATCGACGGTAGACAACGGATACATATTTTTGAGTTTTATATAGTTCCGTGATGATTGAAATAGCGCAAGAAGATAAATCTCGTGCATGGCCATTTTATACAAATGGTACAAGGAGTCTGTCTTTGTTGAATGACTCCCAAACCCCTACTGAATAAAATCGAAGGAAAAAGCAATTTCACATAAGGCGCTCCTCCTGGTCTGGCCCTATACCTTGTTTCACCATTAACTGTTCATAGCCTGCTGCAACACACCTCCTAGTTTTTACTTCTGCTCTTCAAACATAGTTCCCACTTCTATGCATTGGCCAAAACCTCCTGACACAGCAATATTCAGCATGCAGTAATCTCCAGAACATCTTCCTGGAGTCCCCAGATTAATTTATATGTTCCGATTCTGTACTTTTCCAGCACTTTTTAGTTGTCTTCCTATTAGCAGCTGATGTGACATATTTGATTTATCAGCATGTAGGACTCTTTGCCCTTAGAGACTACAAGTTCTTCAAGGACAAGGGACTACTGAATAATCTCAGGATCTGGTAATGTATATAACAGGATTGGTGCTCACAAAATATGTCCTAATTTGAGCTAAAATTAAATGTATGTCTGTGCATTATTGTTTGTAGTTGTACCAACAGAGAGTTAAACCAGACAATGATTTCTAAGCAACTGCATCTTGGTGAAGTGAAAAGAGTATGGCTCTCACTTAGATAAACCTAAGTTTGAATCTCAGTGCTGCCGTGTCTCAGGGAGGTAAGAAAAAAAATAAATGTTAGAAAATGTAACCATGTTATATTATGTAGCATTCTATACATTTGGCCAGGGCATTTATCACATATAAAAATACTCAGTATTTGAATCATGTCATAATATAAACAGTTATCTTAAAGAAAGGCAACACAATGTATTAAAATAGCTGCACTTCACTTTTTTAAACATTGCTGTCAGATTAATTTTAATTTTTGTAACATAAAAGTGCCTCCAATAGCCACTACAAATTTCTTTGATTAGCAGTTTATAAACACAAACAAATAAGAAATTAGTTTAATTTACCTTAATAACCAAATCAAATTTCTGGTGAAAGTCTCTGTTTACTGGCTCCAGGAGACTAAGTTCTGCAGTCCTAGGATGCATATGGAAAAATCGTGGGTAATCCTCAGGAGTCCCTGAAAGACATTGAGATTTTAGCACATAATTGAGAACAATACATAATATGTGTGTGTGCTATATCTATTTCCCTTCATTAACTGAGGAACAGAATCACAATTTCATTACTAAATTAACTTTCAAAATTTATGCAGTCTGGGGAAAAGAGACACAAATGTGGTATATAATTAATTAGCTTATGAGTAAGAAGATGGAGAGTATTTTTTATTTCGGTGATTTTCCAAATATCTTTTATTAGGAGAGCTCGTTAATTAATTTGAAACTTCATCACGTGTAAAGAGATATTATGTGTAGGGAGAGCAAATTTTGAAGTATAAAATTGTGTTTTAATGGTGCATAAATCTTAATTATAGCCTGCATGGTCTTCCACCATAACTTGTAATAAACAAAGACTAGTAATTTGTACCAAATATCAAGCTGCTTGAAAATTAAAATGAACATATTCTGTTCCAGCTGGGCAAATATTTTTCTTAGGCAAGAATCCAGCTAATTATATCAATCATATTAAATAAAAATATACTGATGATACTGTTAATGCCTAGAGAGGATATTTTTTAAGTACAGGCATTTTAGTGAGTTGAAATACATTTCTTCCTGCAGAAGTTTCCTTCAGTTGCATTATCTTCCTGTGTATGATGTGACGGTCTTTTTCTCAAAGTGAAGAATAAGTAGAAGTCAAATCGTATAACTATACAGTATATGTATGCATTTGGCACAACAATAGCCATAAGAATGAAATAACCGTGGCTTCCAATTATTAAAGCCTACTGTGTACTAAATGCAAATAATCATCAATAAGTCTGTAAATCATTCCCATTTTACAGAGAAGGACTTGGCAACTTCAAGATATTTAATAATTTGTCCAAGACCAAAGAGACAATGTAAGACAAAGCCTGCATTCAAATCGAGGTTGCCAGAGTCAGACATAACCAAAACTGGATTAATTTCTATTCTTCCTTTGCTTCAACACTGAGACAAGAAGAGAAACTCTCCTGGGGTATTATGTGAGGGGAAATAAAAAAGTTTGCCAGTAAAATAGACTTGAAAATCCAGAAATGGTCAAAATTGCACATGGCAATTTAGCATATGATAAAGTAGTCATCTCAAAACAGTAGGGTAAATGGATTTTTGAATACTAGCATTTATCAAATAGAACAGCCATATTGGGAATGATAGAATTGCATCCATTTTTTATACTAGAGTAAATCCCAAATGGAGAGTATATTCATATATAATAAACAATGAAACAATACAAGTGCTAGTAATAGATGAAAAACATGGATGAATTCTACTATAATGTGAGAGTGGGCATCTCTCTCCTAACTATGGCTCAAAATGAAAAAGCAATAAGGGAATAGAGAGATAAATTTGATGACATTACAAAATAGCATGGTGAGACACAATAAACAAAGTAAAACCACAAGTGACAAACTAGGGAAAATATTTGCAATTAACAGACACAAAATGTTCATATCCCTAACATATGTAGATTTACAAATTAGGAAAGAAAAAGATCAGCAATACATTAAAAAAGATGGGGCTACAGAATGAAAAGAGTTCATTGAAAGAGACAGAAATGACTCTTGACCAAGTACAAAGATGCTCACCTTTATTCACAAGAAGAAAAATTCAAATTAAATTTGAGATTAAACTGAGATTCCATTTCCTATTTGTTAGATTAGTAATGGCCCAAAGTGGACACCATACTCTATTGGTAAGCCCGTGAGAAAACATGCACTTTCAGACATTTCTGGTATTATTAAAAGAGTGTTATAAAATCTATGATGGAAAATTTGGCATAGTCCATGAAAATGATGTGAGTATTGGGGAATTCTAAGAAGATGGCAAAGTAGGAAGCATTAGGAATCTATCTCTTCATGTAGACAACAATTGGCAAAATCTTTCTGATGTAACTCTTTTAAAACTCTGGAGTCTACTGAATCTTCCAAATTTCAGAGTCAGGTCTGGACAGTAAAATACAATTAATTTCTACCAATTATAGCTCTAAGCACAGTAGCCACTACCTATCTCCCAACCCTCTGCCACTTGGCAGGGAGCTGGGCCCATGTTCCTGGAGAATCTTATACACAGTTTGGGAGCAAGGTTCGGCAAAAAGGACCATGTCCTTCAAATAGCAGACATCTGTGCTCTCACAGGTGATTGCTGCTTCTCATCACAGAGGCGCAGGTGACTATTGTTGTCACACACACACACACACACCCATTGTTCCCATTGTTGTAAGTTCCTCCATTTAGGCTGAATTAATTTCCAGGAGATCTGAAGGGCCAGCATCGTTTTTACCCCCTTCATTTTTCTCTCCCCCCCCCCCCTGCTTAGAAGCCCAGCATTAAAGAGTAGGACATCCAAAAGCAACTGTACATGAGGGGAAATTAGAAAGTCACCATGCATACCCAGGGGAAAGCATAGGCTCAGAAATTACTTGAGGAGATCTTAAGTATTTACACTTCAGACTAGTCCTCAGCACAGAGACAGAATAGAACTGTAAAAAAAAATCAATCAATCAATCAACAAAAATAGAAACAAAAGCCAGTAAACCCTGGGAAAGTAAAAAATTCTGATTTCCAGAGTAACATTATTAGAATCAAATGTTCAATTTTCAACAACATAGAGTGTACATAAAAACAGAAAGATATGGCCCATTCAAAGGAAAAAAAAAGAGACCAAATCAACAGAAATTGCACCTCAAAAACACCTGATTGATGACCTACTAGACAAAGATGTTAAAACAACTGTATTAAAGATGCTTAAGGCACTAAAAATAGGAATAGACAAAGTCAAGAAACTGATATATGACCAAAATGGAAATATTAATAAAGATATAGAAAATCTAAAAAGAAACTATAAGAAATTCTGGAGCTGAAAATGACAATACTGAAATGAAAAGTTTACTAGAAAGATTCAAAGACAGATTGAGCAGGCAGAAGAAGGAATCAATAAACTGAAGATAGGGCAATAGAAATTATTGAGTCTGAGTAACAGAAAAGAAAAAAAAAAAGATTAAACAAAAGGGAACTGTGCCTAACTGACCTGTAGGGTACTATTAAGACAAACAGACACATTGTGGGAGTCTCAAAAGGAGAAAAGACAGAAAGGGGCAGAGAGAATGTTTTTAAAAAAAAATATCTTAAAATTGCCAAAGTTTGATGAGAGATAGAGATAGGGATCCAAAAAGCTCAATAAAATTCATGTAAGATGGATTTAAAGACACACCAAGACACTTCATAATCTAACTCAAAAGACAAAGAGAAGGAGAGAATCTGGAAAGTAGCTAGAGAGAAGTGACTCATTGTATACAAAGGATGCTCATTAAGATTATCAGCCTTTTTGCTATCAGAAACCTTGGAGGCCAGCAGACAGTGGCCCTATATATTCAAAGTGCTAAAGGAAAGCAAAACGTCAAAAAAGAATCCTATATCTGGCAAAACTGTCCATCTAAAGTGGCAGAAATATTAAGGTATTGCCAGATGAATGCTGAGGGAGTCCATTACCACTAGACCAGTGAGGACAGTAGGCTATAACCTGAAGCAGAGTGGGGAGTAAAGATCTCAGGAAAGTAAATATATGGGCAATTATAAAATCTAGTATTATAGTAATAAAAGTCTATAATTCCACTTTGTGGTTTCTACATAACTTCAGACACTAAGAAATTTAGGAGAATTCTTAGTGTATGTTTTCTGGCACATAATATATAAACATGTAAATTTGCTATACTTAAAAGGGTGAGGATTGGGCGCCTGGGTGGCTCAGTTGGTTAAGCGACTGCTTTCGGCTCAGGTCATGATCCTGGAGTCCCTGGATCAAGTCCCACATCGGGCTCCCTGCTCAGCAAGGAGCCTGCTTCTCCCTCTGACCCTCCCCCCTCTCATGTGCTCTCTCTCTCTCATTCTCTCTGTCTCAAATAAATTAAAAAAAAAAAACAACTTTAAAAAAAAAGGGTGAGGATTGAGCTGGAAAGGAACAGTTTTGTATGTAATTAAAGTTAAACTGGCATAAATTCAAGTTAGAGTGCTATGACTTTAGGATTCAAATATAATTCCCATGATGAAAACAAAGAAAACAATTACAGCATATACACAAAAGGAAATGAGAAAGGAATTTAAACTCTACAAAAAAAATCAACAAAACACAAAAGAAGATAGTACTAAAGGAAACGAGGGATGAGAAAGCTGTAAGATATATGGAAAACAAGTAGCAAGATGATAGAAGTCCCTCCTTATCACTAATGACTTTAAATGTAAATTAATTAAACTCTCCACTCAAAGATAGACAAATGGATTAAAAAAACATAATCCAACTATATCCTGCCTACAAGAGACTCACTTTAGATTCCAAGAAACAAATAAATTGAGAGTGAAAGCCTGACATATGCCATACCTTGAGGATAATATGATAAATGAAATAAGCTAGTCATAAAAAAGAAAATTACTGCATGATTTTACTTATATAAAGTACTTACAATCACAGAGACAGTAGGTAGAATCACGTATTCTAGAGGTTGTGGAGAAGAGGAGACTAGGGAATTATTGCTTGATGGGTATAGAATTTCAATTTTATAAAATGAAAAGAATTATAGACACACAAGCTTATGAATGAATTTAATAACACTAAACAGTATACTTAGAAATGGCTAAGATGGTAAACTGTATGTTATGTCTGTTTTACCACAATTAAAAATTGAAGAAATTTTTCTCTCTTTTTTTTTTTTGACCAGAAATCCCACTTCAAGGAATTTTTGCATTTTAATAATAAAAGATAAGTAATCATCTAAATATAGGTCTGGTTGAATAAATGCTGATGCATTCTCAAGTGGATAATAATTGAAATGACAAAAATGAATGATAAGTATCTTTACTCATTACTGTATTACTGTAGAGTTAACTTCAGTTAGATTTAGTGAAAAAACAACTTGGAGAAAAGTGCATTTAGTATTACTAACATTTAAGAAAGAGGAGTACACACACATGTAAATAAAAATACA